GATAATTTTTAGTTATAAAAAGCACACATTTATTGATATTAATTTTTTTTAATTCGAAGAATCAATACCCTCAACTCAGTAGAATTTTTGACAACAGTTATCCTTTCTAATAACACAACGTAGAAGTGATGGAGGTTCTTTATTTCTATGGTGCGGTCACAACAAGAAAGCAACAATATGTTTTCATCCACCTTAAGGAGGTCCTTTCACCACCCCCTTCTCCACCAATGTTAAAAAAAAATATTAGATTATGACTAAACTTTATTTTTTTCTAATAGTTGAAGTCCTTATTTATCTAATAATGAACTTTTAATATACCTAACCGTGCAAATTTTTGAGAATTTTTTTTTAAAAATGTGAGTATTTGTACAGTGTCTTACGAGAAAGTAAGACCTCAACAACAATTTTCGAATTATACTATTATTTATTGATTAGATAGAGTAGAAAAAAAATAAAAATAAGGTTTTTGAAATATTTAGGTTTTGTTTTTTACAATAAAATATATAGGTTACCGTGGAATTTATTGAGAAATTAATATTAAAAAAAAATTTCAAGTAAACTAGTTGAAAATTTTTTGTGATTTTTACTTTCCTATCTGTATACAGATATGTATAAGGAAAGTATAGGAATCATGATTTATTTCGACCTCGAGTTTTCGACGGATTTTTACGTTTTGAGATCCCCTGAATCCGTTTTGACTATTTTAGCGATAATGTCTGTGTGTGTGTGTGTGTCTGTGTGTGTGTGTGTGTCTGTGTGTGTGTGTGTGTGTCTGTGTGTGTGTCTGTGTGTCGCATAACTCATGAACCGATACACAGAAAAACACTAAATTTCAAACTTAAGCTTTGTTCCAGCGTCCAATGTGCTGATTAGATTTTGGGCAGTGTCGGAACATCTGGGAGGGTACTTTATAGGTGGTAATTTTTATATTTTATGGAATATATCTGTTATTTACGTTTGGGGAAGAACATTCTTCAAATAAAAGTTACTTCTTATATTATTATCTAAAATTTTTATTCTATACAAAATTTTCCTAAAATGGTCCGTATTCGAGAAATTTGACAAAATGTAAAAAAATATTTTTTTATAAAAATTTTTCAAACAAAAGTTGTCATTACACATCAGATCTGGTATGTTCTCGCAAGATTGGCCAGTGCAGTAGCTGCAAACACCCGAGCATTTCAGTCCTGCTTTCTTGCAGTTACATAAAATCATATTTAGAAAAGCTTGAGGAACTGGTGGTGCCAATCATCTGTTGAAGAAAGAGATCTTAGGTTCTTCGCATCCAGCCCCAATCGAGACGATTCTTCTCATTTCCCAGCTACTTCTGTACCTGAAACACAACAAAATAAGGAACCATGAATAAAGAATGTAGTCTGAAGCAGAAAGGAATATAAGCAAAAAACTTATTCTCACCTGGTGGCATATTCGCAGAGTAAAATCTTGCAGCCTACCTGGTTGGAGGCAATCTGGCGAGGTTCATATTGGGCTTAACTTCCGTCCTAGTGAACAATTGGAAGCGAAGATCGCTAAGATTTTGCGATTCTCTGTTGCCTCCATAAAGTAAAATGAGGAAGGTCTCTCCTGCGTCCGCAACTGGCTCAGGTGTGGCATTGGAGCTTAAGAAAACTTCTGCGTTTTGTTCGAGGCGTGGCTGTTTTTAATTGTCGATAGAAATTTAATTTTTCCTTGGCTAAAAGGTGCTGATGTTGTATCACAATCGCTAAACGCGTGAAGGAACAGTGCTATTTCGGGTTGTGATAATTGCGTAAAGGAATTTGTCGAGTAGGTAACATCTGGGTTTCTTCCTCTCCTACATTTTACAAATATAATATTGTTATTTGGTCTGTTTGTTGGAAGGATGTGGTCTCCCCCATCTCGTGACAAATCACAAAATAAGACCGACCAACAAATCTATATCCTTGCCGACGATCTTCACTACTTCGTAGGAAAAGGATATGGAAATGGCTGTGGTTACTATTAACCTATCAGCATCTCCCTCTGCCTGTAATGTTAGAATTTTGTTCTTCTTCAGGTGAACCCTCAGTATGTCGATGAGTATATCTGTATTACTGTCATTCAATAGAAACTTGTCCTGAGCAACTGAAACAATGGTTGTTTCATCAAATATAACATCAGGCTAGGACGTTGCTAGAACTCTACGCAGACGTTCAGAGTTCTTGGTATTTTTGTCTGATGCGTCAGATGGATAGCCATCAAAAACTACAGTTATATTTGAGCAGTAGTGATTTTGCAAGTATTGGACATATCTGGAACCACTTTCTCCAAAAGACGCATTACGAGGCCACACTACTTTGTGAAGCAGATGTCCACCGTCTACAACTATGTGCGTATCATTCCTCTGTTGATTCTCATTCGGACTCACAGGATTGAAGGCTGTATAGAATAATGACTAGGTTCCCTTCTTGATTCCATCTTCATTGGTGACAATTCATGTGTGAAAGAGTCGTTCACCTCTTCATTATAATATTTAATATGTTATGTTACACATAAAAGTAAAAACGAAACACACTTTCAATAAAAATCTGCCAGACAACTAAAAAAAATTGTAATACTTGCTTTTTTTTGAAATTTTGCAAACTATCTGGTCTACCAAAACCAAATTACATAACTGTTTACTTACCTTAACAACTTTGAACAGCTGTGTCTCAGGAACTATCAGGTGTAAATTAACATAATTGATCTCATTTGGTTGGGAATTTAGTAAACTTTAATAACTAAAAAAAAGTGAATTTTTCAATAATCCCACTACTTAGGGGTAAAAATTGTCAAAACTAAAAAACTGTAATACTTACTTTTTTTTGATATTTTGCAAATTTTTAAATAGCCGTATCTTAAAAACTATTTGGCCTATCAAAACCAAATTATTCTCATTTAATTGCAAATTTAGTCTACTTAAAAAGTGTCCATAGTAACTTTTGCCGTAACGTAGGTCCTTGGTGGTAAAAATTGACAAAAACCGAAAAAACTCCTAAATTTTAACGAATTTTCAAGTATTTAACTTTGATCCGAAAGGCTTTCGAGTTGGAAAACTTCGATTTATCATTACCCATTTCATTACTACCAACTCATAAAAAAATCAGAACTGAGGCAAACTTCTTTTTTGATACGATTTCCTTGTATTATATATAATAAATATTAAGTTTGACCAATATATGTGGAGGACGAAAATCCGTTAAAATAACAAAATAGCGTATTAAAATTGCATGTATGCCTTCCTAACAATTAAGCCTATTAAAAGAATATCCGTTAATCATCTCTTTACGAGACTTCTAACACATCGTAAATGATACCGAGAGATAGAGAGAGACGACGTTGAAGCGCCACACATAACTCCGTGAATAAAGTTGTTAATAATAATCCAATTAGGTTTTATGGCCATTGGCGCCAACTGTCATTCGACCTAGAAAGAAATTTTCTTTCTAATTCTAATGGCCAGAAGTGTTTCTGTAGTTCGTCGACGTTTAGAGGTGATTTAAACGTTCCATTCTCTAAGGCATTATGGAAATTGGACTGTTGTTTTTGTTTTTGAGTGGTTCGAGTAATTTACGGTCGCTTCTATTACTAATAACAGTGAGGGGAAACAATTTTTCTGTTTCAAAATGAGAGATATTTTTACTTTCCAACTACTTTTCGCGATTCAAATTAATTTTCCCGCGCTTTGTAAGTAGGATAGAAACACTACAGTGTTGGCATACAAATTAATTTATTTGTAATAGAATTTTGTACCAAAGATATTAATTCTGGGGCCTATTTCATAAAAATGACTTATATTATTAGTAAATAATATTAGACTCATAAAATAATAATATAAGTTGGCTGTTTTTTGTTTCACAGATTATTTTAATTTACACATATTAGGTTTGTTACCGAAGCCAGTTCCAAACTTGTTACAAACATTATCTGATACGCATGCGGGAACAAAATAATGTTTGGAATGAGTTCTGAGTAAATGTGTGCTGGAACGATAAAAAAATTAATGCTGCTGAGTGTTTTAACTAAATACAGGTCATTCGATTATATTTATTAAAAAAAGAAGATTTTGAGGTTATACTTTATGATCAATTCAACATTGCACAAATAAAAACTACCCTCCTTATTATATTTTTTACTGTTATAACGCTGTATAAGATTTTAGTCAAAATTAAAGATAATAGACACTCACAAAACAATCAAAAATCCAATTAAAAACAAAGGAGAAATAGAAAAAAAAATGATTTTAAATAAGTACGTCTGCGCGAAAGAAAAAGTTCGTATTTTATTTAGGAACTATTAAAACAAATAACAAATATGAACAAGTTTTTAATCTTGTGGAAACACCGAACAAGTTCAATTTGTTTGGAACTTTGCTCTACTGGAACAGTTACTTTGTACTGCGCATACTCAATATGTTAGGAACTCGCTTCGGGAACAAACCTAATATTAGTAACAGAATCTTTTCTATTAGGCATTTCAAACAAATGAATTACCAGTGGGCAGGTTTGGTATATCTAAGGGTGGCGACATATGGTGTATTCTATCTACTTTACGTAAAATCATGAATAATGGATTACATTTAAATATTTTATGTCAAACACAATAAAAATAATATTTAAAAAACCCACCTATATATTTCTTCATAAATTGGCAGGCTTGGCAAGTACTACTTCGAATAAAAATAGCGTCCAAATTGCAAGACTATGTCGCTACCCTCTTAAATATACAAGAATTTCCCACTGGCACCTATTGTTTGACAGGTCGTTGGAATGCCTAATTATATTAGCATCATGGCAGCTACCTACTAGATCTAGTGTCCTTATTGAAGTTTAGTTGATATGTCAAAAGGTAGTATTTTTTGATTGTGAAGTGACATTCTTATTGAAATAAAAGATGCCTAAATTAAGCAAAAGGGAAGAAAAGAAAATGAAAAATCAAAACTTTTTAAGAAAAATATTAGAATTAAAGAATGAACTTTTTGGTCAGTTTTCTACCAGTTTTACTTTCAGTTCTACAATTCTAATTTCATCGTCACTTGAATCTGAATCCATAATTTTCAAATAAAATATATCACATATAATATTAGTGCAAATTAAGGAATAATATTAGTAGTTATTTATTATTTAAAATTATTTGTTTACTTTAACTATGAAACATACTTCAAATTTTACAAATATAATAAACTAATATTAAGAGTAAGTTTACTAATAACTAGAGAGCGGAATATATGCAAAATGCATATATATGCATTTTTGCATATTTTACCAAAGTTCAGAAAATATTGCCAAATTTTCTAAAATTCAGAAAATATTGCATATTTTACCAAAGTTCGGAAAATTTAAGAAAATATTGCATATTTTCGAAAAAAAAATGTATTACTATACTGTGCAAATCAAAAACTGTTTTAACAGATTATACAGATATATTTGAAATAAAGACCTTTTAAATTTTTGTATTTGTTTTTAAGTATCACTTCTTGTAAATTCTTGTTAATTAGTTCTTGGAGGGTGGCATGCACTGGGTTTTTACCTTCTTAAGAGATTAAGCCCATTAAGGTAATTGTTAATAGATGGTATTTACTCAGATAAAGTATTACCTACAATGCAATAAAACGGTTTATATAAAATTATCAGTAATTTCTTGTAACCAATCTACCCTAACATCGGAATATTTTGAATGTTTTTCATTCAGTTTAATGAGATAGTATCCTCGTTATTTGCCTAGTGAAAAGTCTTGTAATAATTTGTTGTTTTAAAAGTGTCCTAAAATGTCGAGAATTTCTTCGTGGATTATTAACTTTCCAGAGTTGGAAATCAATGGGGATAAAGTTTTTTGTAAAGCTTGTGCCAAAATAGTGGTTTGCGAAAAAAAGTTCAAAGTGGTTAAACACGTGAAAACATCATTGCATAAAGCCAAATTGCAAAAAATGAAATCACAACCGGTTCAACAATGCGTTGTGAGGTCATTTCAAAACGCCGACAAAACAAAAAGTGACAAGGAGGTATTTAATCAGGACTTGTGCAAAGCTCTTGTTGCGGCAAATATTCCATTAAAGAAGTAACAAAACCTACATCTAAGAGAATTTTTACAAAAATATTGCAATCAAACCATTCCTGACGAATTTACACAGAAAAAAAAATGTACATGCTATATATATAAATGTAATAGAAGAAATTAAAGTTTTACTGGATGATAGCAATTTTTACATCATTGTTGATGAAAGCACAGATGCTTGTGGAAGATATATGGTACATCTTATGATTGGAGCCTTAAAAGAAAATGAACCAGGTACATCATATTTAATTGCATCAAAACAGTTAGAAAAAACTAACAATACAACTGTTACCCGATTTATTCAACAATCTCTAGCAGAATTTTTTTTACCAAATCAAATTCTCTCAGAGAAGTTCTTAGTGTTTTTGTCTGACGCAGCACCATATATGATAAAAGTAGGGCAAAACTTAAAAATATTTTATCCAAATATGGTCCACGTTACTTGTCTTCTGCATGGAATAAACTTAGTTGCAGAAACTGTGAGAACAGAATATCCCTTGGTTAACAAGCTAATTTCGAATGTGAAAAAAATATTTTTAAAAGCCCCTTTAAGAGTGCCGTTGTATAAAGAGAGAATGGTAGGGGTGTGTTTGCCCCCGGAACCCGTAATTACGCGATGGGGGACATGGATTAAAGCAGCTATATTCTATGCAGAAAATTTTGAAAAAATTAAGGATTTAATTTTGGATATAGAAGACAATTCACAATGTGTAGTGCAAAGTAAAGAATTGTTAAAAAATCCCCTTGTGCCTAAGCAACTTGTGTTTATAAAGGTTAATTTTAGTTTTTTACCTGATGTAATAACTTCATTGGAAAAGAAAAATTTAAGTTTAATCGAATCAACAAATTTTATTGCAACAGTTTCCGATAAATGTAATAATGTTCCTGGTGACATAGGCCTTAAGATTAGAAAAAAATTAAATACAACTTCATTAAAGAATGAAGGGTTCAATGAAATAAGGGAAGTGAAAAACATTTTTGAGGGAAAATTTTCCAAAGAAGTTTTACGTTGGCCCTGTACATTTCTTCCAAAATTACGGTATTGTCCTATTACTTCGGTAGATGTTGAAAGGACCTTTTCTATATCAAAACATATTTTTACAGACAGAAGACAAAAATTTTTAATAGAAAATTTCGAAAAATATTTAATTATAAATTCCTATTATAGTATTACTATTTAATATTTTTATACTATTCTATACTTAACTTCTACTACTTTTTGTGTTTCGTTTGTTTTAAATAAATTTTTATATTACATATTTTCTTTTGTTTTTTTTTTCGTGTAATGGCTTTGATAGCGTACCAAATTAGGAACAGCAATGTTAATTAGAACCCAACAGTGAATGGTCAAGTGGAAATATTCGCTAGGCATCAGAATTAATTTTTAAATAAATTAATTAATTTAAAAAATCGCGTCCCGGCTGGAATTTGAACCCGGGACCCCTAAGTCCACAGGCCAACGCACTAACCACTGAGCTACCCACCCCCTACTTTTTTTTAAGTATTTTTAACAAATATGCATTTGCATATTTAGGCATAATTGGACAAAATAACTGCATATTTTTGGTAAAAACGATGCATATATATGCGCATATTTTGTTATATTTTGATGCATATATTCCGCCCTCTACTAATAACTAATTTTATTACCTAAAAATATTATGAAACTAAAACTAATATTTCTTACTCATAATATTAAACTTTAGCCAATATTAATATTAATAAGTTTTATGAAATAGGCTCCTGGTGTTAAGATTTTCGTACAGCCATTACCGCTGTTACAACCATTGTCACTTTCAGAAGTATATTTATTTTTGAGTTTCACTTTAATCAATTAGTATTAGATTTGTTACAATTTTTGATAACACTTATCCTATTTACAAATGTTATAAAATGTACCCTCAGAAGGCGTATCGCTTAGCTTGAACCGCGATTTGCAGTGGCTAATATTTTTGCATATGTTATTTTGCCGCCATTATCATAGCAAACTCAGCCTGCATATTTAAAAAAACTTTTAAAGGAAATATGATTGTTAACGTACCATCTAGCAAAGAGGGTTCAAAGAGGCGTAAAATTCCCAAAGCATTACAAGAACTTAAAAAAATTAATAATAATAAATAGGATAATCTGAAGATCCTCATCTACATCTCTCTATTCTCTATTATTTTTTTCTAGTCGCTTCCTTTGACCATCGGAACTGGTCCAGTTACAGCATCGCAATATGATATTTCTATAATCCGTACGTAACACCCCCCTGGGGTATTATGGCTGAATTTATGAAATAATAAGCTCTATAATATGCAAAATTCCCGACCTGGGGGATGAATCCTTTCAAGGGCGATCGCAGTGGCTTTTTTCGGGATTAACAGACGAACCGGCACCCCTGTATTCGGTCGCATATCGGATTGGGATCTCATGCATATCTTATTTCAATGTAATACGCGCCTAGGGGGTTTGTTTTTTGACGGCAATTCTGATGCACAATAGAAGATGCCGGGACTTGTTGCTGCAAATTGGAACGGAGACGGTCAAAGGAAGAAAAAGGTTCAAAAAATTAATAATAATAATAATAATAATAATAATAATAATAATAATAAACGTTTATTTTGTAAGCCAGTGGTACTAGACATAACTAAATTAATTAAAAACCTTCCAAAAAAATGAGTTAACTGATAACAACATATTTATCGTCAATTATACAAAACGATTTTCATATCCTGATGTAAATAATATAAAAGAAAATTACAAAAATTATAATAATAAATGACCGCAAAAAAGTGAAAAAAAAAATGATTAATAATCATTAAATCATTGCTCGAGAGTTCAAAAACTATTAAATTGCTCGAGAGTTTAGATGTAATTTTTCGAGAAGTAAGAGATCGAAATTGCACGTAATTACTCGAGAGTTAAAGAACTATTCAATTGCTCGAGAGTTGAAGGATTGTAATTGCTCGAGAGTTGAAGGATTGTAATTGCTCGAGAGTTGAAGGATTGTAATTGCTCGAGAGTTGAGATATCGTAATTTTTGTTGAGATATTGTAATTGTTTGAGAGTTAAGATATTGTAATAACTCTTAAAGATCGTAATTTTGAAAGTTGAGAGATAGTGATTGCTCAAAAGTTGATATATCGTAATTAGTCGATAAATAAAGAATTCTTAAACTACTCGAGAGTCGAGTGATCTTAATTGCTAGTGAGTTGAGAGATCGTCTGTACTCGAAAGTTAACAGATCTTCATTACTCGAATGTTAGAGAACTATTAAAATGATCGAGAGTTGAATAATCGTAATTGCTCTAAAATTAAGAGATCGTACTTGCTCGAGAGTTGAGAGATCGTAATTGTGAGAGTTGAGAGATCGTAATTGTGAGAGTTGAGAGATAGTGATCGCTCGAAAGTTGACAGATCGTAGTTACTGAAGAAATTAAGAACTCTTAGAGTCGAGTGATGTAAATTGATCGTGAGTTGAGAGATCGTTAAAGCTCGAGAGTTAAGATATCGTATAGTTTTTTGAGTTGAGAGATCGTAATTACTCAAAAATTTATAGATTGTTATTACTCGAGTGTTGAACTATTAAATTATTCGATAGTTGAAATATCGTAAAAAGTTGTTTTAATTGCTTAATCAAAAAAAAAAATACAAAAAATCTACTGGGTTATATCAATTTTCCCAGTAGGGATTTCTCTAGAATTACTGAATCAACGGTAATAGGTCTAAAACATACCTTATTAAAATATCAACGAATAGTAAAACTGACACTGAAATATGCCAAATCGTTATACAAATATTAATAAAAAAAACTATTTTTTAAGACACTTTAACAACCTACCAATTTCTAGTGGAATCAAAATCAGACATTTTTATGCTTGTGACATGTTACTAATTAGTAGCTGATTTAAATGCTCCTAAATAATTAGTATATCATCTATATTATAAATTTAAAAAAAGTTGCAAACAAGAATATTGATTTAATGAGTTCTTTTTTTTTTAAAGAAGTATT